ACCATTTGAAAACATTATCCTTCTCCACCTTTCTCCAGAGGCACATGGGAACATGGGAACAATCAACAGTGAAACTGATGGCACAGTTCCTAGACTAGAGGAAACTTCAAAGCAGAATGTAGAGTGCACTTTCAAATCTGAATCTAAAGAGAGAAGAAACTTGTACAATAAATACCTACTGCAAAGGGCATTTTCAGATGTACTCTTAAACAGAATATAACAGTCAGTATTTTAATATTAGTCTGCTCCAGACATGTATAGCCTTTGCCTCTGTGCATGCAGCTGAACAGATTACAGTCTGTGTAACTGAAGAAATATTTCATAAAAAAGTCTGAGTATCCAGACAATGAAAGACACAGGAGAGATGATTCCAGCAGGGGTCCTGAGGGCCCCAAAATATGTAAACAAACCATGGCATGAAAAGGTTTTTCTCACAACACAACACAATTCACACTCCCAACTTATTTTATACTTCACTGGCTACAGCCGCCACGCATCAGCACCAACTGATTTCACGCTTTAGAGGCTGGGAAACAGTCCGCAGCTTAGTCCCTTTCACACTTCACTGATGTGGTAACTCCATCGTTCACCAACTTAGCTTTTCTGAGTCTAATATTTGCACCTACAACTGACCACCTCAAAAGGCAGTCAGATCAAAGCTTTAATATAACTGAACAATAGCAATATGTATCAGAAAGGTAGAGCAAGCAGTCTGCTTCCTACTCTGTATATCTATCTGGTGGGAGAGAGGAGAAAACACCTCCCTAAAATTTCTTCCCCTCACTACACATCTGGAGGTTGGTCTGGGTTTCTACACTTCTTTGAAATTAGTTCCTTTCCTGGGTCTATCCTGGGTTGCACTGATATCCTATAGCGCAATTGAGAATAAAAGAGTTGGAACAAATAAGGCTTTCAGAGCTGTGCCTTAAATCTGACATGCAATAAGCGTGATCGTTTTTCCCATCTGAAAGTCACTCAGTCATGTCTGACTCTGTAACCCCATGGACTGTAGCCCTCCAGGCTCCTCTATCCATGGAGTTCTCCAGGCAAGAATACTGGAGTGGGTTGCCATTCCATTCTCCAGGAGATCCTCCTGACTCAGGGATCAAACCCAGGTCTGTTGCATTGCAGGCGGATTCTTTACCATCTGAGCCACCACAGAAGCCTAGGATTCACAAACTAAAGCTAATAAACCACTGAGTAAGTTTTGAAAGCAGAGGCTAATAGGCTTAATCTGTGTCTTATAAATATTGTCTCATTTGACCCCAAGTACATACCAAGAGGTAGTTGTTATTATCTCAATTTTACAGATGAGAAATCTGAAACTAAAGTTACTTAAGATCACACAGCTTCCAAGTGTTGGTTAGGATTCTGAGGTCCCTACACTTAACTACTACAGTAGACTGGAATACATGCCTTCTAAAAAAATGGGGTAAACAAAGCACAGTATAGTTTTAAAAAGGCAAAAATACCAAAGTGCAATAATAACCAAAGAGAATAATTGTAAAGGTATGTTAGAGATATAGTTACAACTCTTATCTCCTTTCTCCTTGTAGCGGTACTAGCAAGTGTGAAGACCAAATGTGGCTGATCAGAAACTGAGACACCAAAAGAAGCAAGCTTCACTTTAAAGCAGGCAAAGAAAAAAACAGATAATTAATAAGTAAAACACTCTCTTAGATGCAGACTGAAAGTTTACTAATTAGAGTTTCAAGAACAGCAAACAATTACCTTGGAATACAGAAACATCTTCAGAGAACTGCTCCTTTAAGGATCAGGAAACCTGTCCAGAGTGTTACAAAAGGCTTTCAAAGTAGAATAATCTACTGAACAAAAACGGCTCGGTTACTAACTGTATTTTAATCTAATATTTTTATGATACAAAAAGCAAGACAAATGTTAAAGGTTAGTAATAGCTAACAATAGGTAATGGCATTTTCTTGTAGCCTAACATTTTTTAAGTGCACATATTGTACTGAGGTTCACGCTGGGACAGTGGAAATTGCAAAGTTGGACCACAGGTAAGGACACAGTTTGAACCACATGAAAAACATAGCCTCCTCTTTAAGCTGTCTTGACCTAATTGGGCAAGTAAGAAATTTTTTTAAAAAGATGTTTTAAGGTAATATAAAATTGTCAAATAAAAAGTTGTAAATGACAAAAATTCAGGAAGAGAGCTATCACTTAGGGCCTGGAACAGTTGAAGATATCATAAAAGGGGAATTGAAAGCTAGTATGTAGACTGGGGACTGAAGGGAGATATTCCAAGTAGAAGGAATGGTCTGAACAATCTGAAGAGGCAGTAATTCAAAAAACCTTATTTTGGAGACAGCTATAGAAACTACTAGAGCCAAAGGGTTAATATAGTAAAGTGCAGAATATTCTGCCAGAAAGAATATTCCATCTTCAGCCTGGAGGGCCTTCAACACTAGGTTCAGTCATTCAATACCATAAGCAATGGAGAGTCAAGTCTAGACCCTACAGGCAATTGCTGGGAAGTTATACTATTACTGTTGTGTCGAGGTCTCCAAACCTTCCCTTACACCATCTGTTCTTTCATTTACCCTGGCTTTTTTTATTATTATTATTATTATTATTATGTACCATCAGGTAAAGGTGTTACAATAGCACACAGTCTTAATACTGACATCGCTCAACATCACACTTGCTTAACCCAATGGTATCAATGAGCAAGCAGTAACATTTAACCAAAACCCAGAAACAGGATCAACAGGAGGAATGGGCTCCATATCAATGTGCCCCAAGTCTAACCCCATACTCATAAACAGACATTACATCTAGGGGAGCAATCAAATACACTTACTTTGTATAACCATTCTCATGATCACAGAAAGAACTGAACCAAAGTTTGCCCCACGTCAAGTTCCACTCCACAGTCCAAATATCCAGAAACTTGTGCCTTGCTACCTGGTGAAGATTCCTATAGTTCGCCAACTGTTTCTGAAAGAAATAGCTGATGATACCTTAGTATGTTGTTGTTTAGTTGCTGAGTCATGTCCAACTCTTCTGCAACCTCATGGGCTGTAGCCTACCAGGCTCCTCTGTCCATGGGATTCCCCAGGCAAGAATACAGGAATGGGTTACCATTTCTTTCTCCAGGGAATCTTCCCAATCCAGGGATCAAACCTGTGTCTCCTGCATTGCAGGTGGATTCTTTACCACTGAGCCACCAGTGGTATCTAATAAATTACCAAATATCAGGATATACATTTGTCTGAGATAAGAGCCCAATCATTTTGGACCTAGATATGGTAACTGGCCTTACTACCATTGCAACAGTCTCTAGAAAAGTAAGACCCATCCCCATTCCTTTGATTTTTTACAGTTTCATTTCCTAGCATCAAGTGATATTTCTAGTCTCTTCAAAACTTTTCAATCTATCCAACTCCTATTTTTATCAATAGAACACCTAACCTTACAGTTTTGAAGACAGAATGAAACCATAACACCTTGAAAGGAAAAGTGAAACACATTTCTACCCCACCAAAACCAATTCCAGCTGTTCATTTCAGTGGTATCAGCAGAGCTAACAAGGAGAATAGCTACCGTTCGAATTGCCCACAGAACCTGAACTGCTCTGCTCTTCTCTCATTTCTCCCCCTCCCCATCTCCTCTGTAACTTACACACAACTGCCGCACTCCGCTGTCCATCCTCCCAAAATGCTACCCAACAATTCACTGGCTGTCACAGATTGTCAGCACTGTGTTTGGGGACTTGAGAAGTGCCCCTGTGGGACAGCGCAGTGTTAGTACAGCATTTTCCCGGACACAATGTCACTCTTTATAGCCAGATGCAAATTAGTTTCTTCTTAAAAAAAAAAATAATACTCCTAATAAGACAGGTACAAGGAGATTTTAAATAACCAAGATTAAAACTCACTTGGTTTGCTCTGAGATGTGGCCCTTTCAGAGTCAAGCACAATGAAATCCCATGTCTCTCTCGACTGACATGAGCCATGCACATCATCTAGGAACACCTGAAGTCAGCTTTCTGATGTTAGCAGAAGCCGAGAGGCTACCAAAAAAACATATCAAAGGAGAATCTTCCTTCCCCTTTTTTCTGTGCTCGTGGTTCCTCATTCTTAAATTTTATTTGATAGTACTCTGTTTTGAGCTCAGTTCTCAATATCAACATTTACTTCTATGTCTTGCTGTGCAAACCCATTTAAAAGGAAATTCTGCAAATCACCAGTATCATTTCTTTATAGCTTTCATCCAATTCTTTGCATGTGCTTCAGCAGCACACAAGGACAATTATCTCCGGACAGTGCTATGCCTGACCCTCTGAAAAAGCCCTCATCCTATGTATCCGTTTCCTGGTTGCCAATGGCTACACATGAGTGTCAAAAGCTGGAACAGACTGAAAAGAGTATCACAGGATGTGGGGAAGAGAAACCTCTCACAAAACAGCAGGTCATTGCAACTGAAGTCTTCTTGGGAAAAAAAATTAATTAAAAATAAACATCTAGAGTAACATTTTAAAGATTAAAATCAGTTTCACTAGCTATCTAATTAGTTTTCATCCATAATTTCTTTGATAGCCTTATTCATTCTGCTTTATTATGGTTTCCTGAGGATTTCACTGATCATATAGTCTTCCTGAATCAGTTCATCAAACTCCTACCATAACACTGAATCTTTGCTGCTCCCTATTTGAACTACAGGGAAGCTAGAGCTGGACAGGAAAGATGTTAATTCTCAGTTCTTATAGTAGAAAGAGACTGAAAAGAGCAAAGCTAGTAATCCAACTTTGAGAACCAATTCCAATATTTAACAAGCCCCTATTCTCTTTACAACAAACATCAAAATTTAAGAAAGACAGTGAATAGAAGCAAGAAAATCTTCAAAAGATCCTGAAAGTCTTTCAAGAAACTGCCACTTTCAAACTTGTTATATATGAGTTACAAAGTAAAATGGCACTTAAAAAATACGAAACATAAGCAAACAGAGTAAATAATATTTATAGTTGACTGACTTACCAAATAAGTGGCATTTATTTTTTGAATAATAAAACTCTAGAAGGTGCAGACAGGCTGTATCTGAGGCAAAAGTTCCCTTCTGATAGCAGCCGCTCCTGGAAAACAATAATGATAAAAGTTAGTTTTACAAAAATGTGTAATTATCATTTCTTTGACACCGGTCTGTGCATTTAACTTTCATGATCTCATTTCATGAATACTCTAAGAGTTTCACACAGTGATTTGCCATAGAATGGGCAATGAAAATAAACACATGCATAAAAATACTTTTTAGAAGTTCAACAACAAAACAGAAAAAGGAAATGTCATTTTTTTTCTCCTTCTCGGTCCTCTGAGAACTAGTCTGAGGGGACAGAACGTCTACTAAATGCCATGAAAGAGAGAGAGAGAGATGGAGATAAGAAACAAAATAATACAAATGACTGAAATACAAAAAGATGTTCAACTTCTAGTCATTACTATAGTTCTAACTTTTAGGATGGTACATGGTAGATGTTCAATAAGAATGTGTTGACTGGACAGCTAGCTAGACAAATAAAAAATAAATCATCATCAGTTAGCAAAGAAAAAATAAATCACATCAGTTAGCAAAGAAATCCACAACAAATCTACTATTTTATCCATCATCAGACAAGCAAAGATTAAAAAGTAAGGTCTGTTTTGGTGAGTAAAGACTGAATAGGGCTCCACATTGTTAATGGAGATACATATTTTATTAATATAGAAAGCATTTTAACAATATTCCAAAATCTTTTATATATCAAAGGACCTTTGGATCCAGCAATTCTCCTTTAAAGAATTTATCATAAGGAAATAACTGGACTTCTACAGGACTCTTAAAAACTGAGGGAGAAAAAAAAAAGTCTGATAGAAAAATGAACTTAAAAATATAATTCACAAAGAAAGATACTAAAATGACCTTTATATACTCTATGAAAAGACAATTAACTACAAAGTGAGTATTAAAACTACATTGAGATACTTTGTTTCTAACTACAAATAGGATAGCAAAAATTAAAAAGCATACCAACATACTTGGATGATTAGTTTTTAGAAAAAACTCTCATACAATGCTGGTGCAAATTCAAACTTGTACAACCTCCCACAGAAAGGGATTGATCAATATTTAAGAAAACTATATTTGCTTTTAAACTTTTGACCTAACTATGCTATTTTAGGTATTTACCCAAACATACACTTACAACATACAAAAATATATATAAAAAAGGTTACTTTATTGCAGCACTGCTTATAAATTCAAAACACTGGAAACGGCATAAGAGCATGGTTAAGGTTATCACAACAGAGTACTGTGTAACCGTAAGAGGGAGGAACAGACAAAGGGAGGATGGGACGGTGAGTGCTATAAATTGATATGGAATGGATTCCAAAACATATTGAAGTGAAATGGTTAATTTATAAAAAGCAAAGTACAAAACAGTAGCTACAGTATGCTAAATTTTGTGTAAAAAGTTAAGAAAATTTTTTTTTAAAGTGTTATCTTCTCATACCTGGGGGAAAAAAACACCAAAGGGGTAATCCAGAGACTGATGAGATTGATTACCTATAAAGGCTGGGCAAAAACAGGGTGAAAAAGAAAGAAGAAATGGGTGACACTGCTTTGAGTGTATATATATATTTAATATAATTCTGACTTTTGGAACCATATTAATGCTTCACATGCTCAAAAATAAGTAAGATCAATTAGGATGGGGAGAAAAACTTAGAATACAATAGAAATGAACTGTATTGCAAATGACTAACATAACTATGTTACAGAAAGAAAGTTGGAGAGAAAATTAACCCAAGTAACTTCTGAACGTGGTTTCTTGCTCAGCGATGTCCAATAGAAAGATAATGGATGCCACATATGTAATTTAATATTTTCTAGTAGTCATGTTAAAATGGTTAAAATTAACTTTATTTATTTTATCTAATATATCTAAAACATTTCAACATATAACATAACATATTATTTAAATATTAATGGGATATTTCACATTTCTTATTTCATACTAAGTTTACAAAATCCAGTATGCATTTTACATTTACAACACATCTCAATTCATGCAGTTAATGTCTACTTTATTGACCAGTGACGATTTAGACTATATGCCCATAGGAAAAGGAAAACAAATATTGAACTCTTTTTAAGCAGTGGTATGAAACTATTCTCTGGTATTCTAGAACTAGGCCAATAAGTAAAAATGTGAATCATAGGGACAAGTTTCTCACTTTTGGAAGAGGGGGTTATAAATACAGAATAAACCCTGTAGTGTTGCACTGGGTCCAGAAGTATTAATATAAACCCAATGCTTTCAGTAGACAGATAAAGATGTATATGAATGTGTGTATAAATGACAAAGGCAAGGCAAAAGGAAACAGGAATCAGCTTGAATGGGCTCCCACTGACCAAATCAGTAACAGCATCAAAATAAATAATGAAAAAAAGTATTATAAGTAAGTATAGGAGACATGATGGAATTAGAAAATCACCATTTAGGAACCACCATGAAAATTATTCAGGCAGAAATACAAAAGTTAGTAAAAGTTCAAGAAGTAGTAGGAAATTTACAAAATCTCAAAGTATTTTTTCAAAGACACCTCAAAATTATAAACACAATGTCAATGTACTTAATCACTGAACTATACACTTTGGTTAAAATGATAAATTTTATGCATATTTTACCACCAAAGTAATTATAAAAGGAAAAATAGTAACTTTGCACTGGAAAACCTGGCAAATACTACCTTTAAAGGAGTGACCCAAGACCACATTACTAATATTTCAACATCCTGTGCCTCCTGACACAATGCCCTGAGAAGTACAACATTACTTTTGTGGTACTCCTGCCAGAAATGGGTAAACTGAAGCCAGTAAAGAGAAAACAGCAGATAAACCCAATTTATAAGCATTCTACAAAAGAACTGATGCCTTTGAACTGTGGTGCTAGAGAAGACTCTTGAGAGTCCCCTGGACTGCAATGAGATTAAATCAGTCAATTCTAAGGGAAATTAACCCTGAATATTCATTGGAAGGACTGATGCTAAAGCTGAAGCTCCAATACTTTGGCCACTTGATGCAAAAAATTGACTCACTGGAAAAGACCCTGATGTTGGGAAAGATCGAAGACAAAAGGAGAAGACGATGGCAGAGGATGAGATGGTTAGATAGTATCACAGACTCAATGGACATGAATCTGACCAAACTCCAGGAGACAGTGAAGGACAGCGATGCCTGGCAAGCCGCAATCCATCGGATGGCAAAGAGTTGGACACAACTTAGCGACTCAACAATAAAATAATAACCACAAAATAACTAGCTTGTACTCTTAAAAAATGTTAATGTCATGCAAAAACAAAGACTGAGGAAATGTTCCAGATTAAAGGAAACTAAAGAGACATGACAATTGAATACACTCCAAGAGCCAGAATTTTCTTTTGCTACAAAACAGTACATTATAGGGATAATGAGTGAAATCTGAATAAGTCTGTGGACTACAGTATAATATTAAATCAATGTTAATTTCCTGATTTGGATAACTGTACTATGCTTTCATGAAAGAATGTCCTTGCCTTTAGAAAATGTACTCTTAAGTATTTAGGTAAACAGGAATAAGTCTGTATCTTACTCTCAAACAGGGAAAACACTCTCCCTTTATTGTTAGAAGACCTTCATATTTCCAACATTAAAAGAACATGAACATACAAAAATATGGAAGCTTTAAAAATAAACTCTAAAGCAAATACTTATCCATTTAGTGGATAGAGAAAATTCAGTCATTATAATACTAGGGAGATTGTAGGCCTGACCTTACGTACAAACTCATTAATGATCAGGAGAGTGCAAATAACACATTTAATTAAATTTGCTCATTTATCTATTTTGGGAAGTACGATTAACAGCATTAACAGCAGTGAGAGAGAGTAGTAATATAAAAGGACAGAGACAGATTAAAAACAATGGCCCAAAACAAACCAAATTGGAAAGTGAAGAGACAGCTAGGTAAAATTAGAAGCTTAAAAGAACTAAAGAAAGATATCAGACGCTTAGGTACTATCAATTTTAAAGCAGGCTGTTGCTATATGAAGCAATTTTGGCAAACACCAATGCTAAATGAGGAAATATATATATATATTAATGTATATATCTATACACATATCACACACATGAATACATACCCATCACCTTTTTCCCTATAAGAGACTGATAATCCTTACTTAATTAAGGATTCATGAAGGGATAACACCCTAAAAAGAGAGTACTATTGATGTAGTTTGATAAGAATAGTTTCATACTCATAGTTTCACAAGTACAGAAACTCTACCAAGGATTATCAATAAAGAATTAAACTATCCTAAGCATGGCAACCCACTCCAGTATTTTTGCCTGGGACAAAGAAGCCTAGAGGGCTACAGTCCATGGGTCGCAAAGACTCGAACATGACTGAAGCGGCCTGGCACACACACACAGACTATTAATTCTGTTATCTACCCTATATTCTTCAACTAGCTACCCTTGGGTTATCCTTATTTTTCCTCATTTTTCTCTCCAGGCGCTGAGCATTCAAAATATTCTACATTTCCCAACCTCTCCTGCAGAAAGGTGTGGCTCTGTGACCAACAGAATAGGAGCAAAAGTGGTACATCTAACTTTTGGAAGTATACTTCAAGGGAAGAAGATGTGTCCTCTTCCTCCTTTCTGCTGGTTCATATGTGGATGAAGAGGCTGGAGCTCCAACAGCCATCTTAGACCACCAAGCAACTTTGGAAAAGAACAGAATCCATGCACAGTGGAGCAACATGACACCATAACAAACCACAACTGTCCCAGACCACTTCTGGAATTCATGACACTGAGAGAAATGAACTTCTATCATGCTTAAGTCTCTATTATTTGACTGCAACCAAATCTTATCCTAATCAATATAACCTCTATACTAATATACACTCCTGATTTTCTTTCTCTCTCTAAACAATCTTCCACTGCTCCTTTGCTGGCTCCTTTTCTGCTTCGCACTCCCTTACCATGAATATTCCCCAATATTCTATCCTTGGCCAAACTTCACAGTGAGGAAGATTTATCTTTTCTGCTCTTCTCCCACTAAGTTCTAGGTCACACATTCTAAAAAGCCTCATTCCTATATGTCTGATCATTTATTTGAGCTCTGATTTTAACTCTAGCTGTCTATCATTCCATTTGTACAAGATGTAATTAAACAGGAACATAAGTGATTTTTAAAACTAAAAAGATAAACAGACAAAATAGAGATGGTAACAATAGTAGTTGTTGTGACGGTAATAAATAGCTAACACTTAGCGAGCTTTTAAAATATGCCAGACACCATTCTAGTAGCTAATCCTCACGATAATCCTATGAAGCAGGAAGTATTATCACCATCCTCCTTTTAAAAATGAGGAAACTGAGACCCAGGCAAGTTAAGAAACTTATTCAAGATACAGAATCAATGTACTAAAGAGATCATTCAAACCTAGTCTTCCAGAACCCACCCTCTTAACCAGTATGCACTACCATCTCTTCTCAGAATGCTATCACAGCTTAAGGTTGTTCTCAGCAGTGATGACAGTTATCTAAATATCCAGTATGGTAATAAATTTCATGCCTTGGCAGATTAACTTTTAGGGACCGTCAAATATCACTTAGAAATAAATATGGTAAATGAGATGAGTGATCAAGCAAGATAATATTCTTGGGCACAGAAGATATGACCATAAAGTAATGAGATTGGTTTTCTTATATGGCTCTAATGGTTCTGAAAGCAGTTCCAAAAGACAAATTCCAAAGAATAATTATTTGCTAGAATGCATGGTCCTAAGAATGATTACTTTAAAAAGGACAGCATTCATTTATAATAAATTTAATAATGAAGATCTTTGCTTTTAAAGTACCAGATTTTTCAACTACCACTCAAACCTACAACTTGTAAAAGCACTTGAACTCATTATCTTTCTCCCTAGACCTCTCTGAGAGCCTTCCTCAATGTCACTATCAAAATACTACAATACAGCTATCTGTCAAACTCAAAACTTTGAGGTATTCCAATTTTCAGCTTTTCTAACCCTACACTTATTGTTCTTCCTCCACAAGAGTTATTATGCTTCCTATTTCTACATTATTCCATGATTGCCCTATTGCCCTACCCTAAAGCCACTCCCTACTTGGCGTTACCCCGCTAAGCCACCAGGACAATCTCTCTCAAATACTGTTTTCATCATGACTTTCAACAAAAATATCATTTAATTTTTAAAAATGAGTTTGCCTATGAGGGCTTCCCTGGTGGCTCAGCGGTAAAGAATCCACCTATAATGCAGGAGACACGCAGAAGCCGCAGGTTCAATCCCTGAGTCAGGAAGATGCCCTGGAAAAGAAATGGCAACCCACTCCAGGATTTCTGCCTGAGAGATCTCATGGACAGAGAAGGCTGGCAGGCTGCAGTCCATACTGTTGCAAAAGTGTTGGACATGACTTAGCGACTGAACAACAACAATCCTATGAAGGGGTCAAGTAAGCAGTTAACAGGCCTGCAGCCAAAGTTGGCTTGGTGTTTGTATTTTGAATATGCAAAATAAAATGAGTGCTTAAGGGAAAATTTTAGTGTAATAAAAATTGTATAAACATGTTACTTGATTTACTACTAAAATCTGCATTTCTTCCCTCTCTTGGCTAATTACAAACGTCTACAAGATCTCCTCAAGTAACAGATAAAAACAAAAAACTCAACAAGCTCTTGGCCATGCCCTCCTGGTTGTTTCCTCTTGCAGTCTTTCACCAGTTCCCTCCTGAATCCACCTGTCATTTCTAAGTCAGCCCTTTCCTCTACATCTGTTTACCCCTCTTTCTAACTGCCTCAGTCTGATTGTCCCTCTAAAGTGTTTCTGATGTCCCCTGTCTGTCTCTGACTAACCCTCACTCTCTGCTTTTGTTGTGTATCCTCTTTCTGTCTCAGGGACAAGTTACCCACCCCAATGTGAGACTTTTCCTCTCTCTGTCTCTGCCCTTCCGTCAGTCTTTCCCCTACAGTTACCCCATTTCCAAGACATCCTTGTTAACTTTTCCCTCTACTCTTTATGAACAAGCAGGGTTGGTATTATTAACCCTATTTTACAGATGATAAGAAAAAAAACACCCAGGGCTACTGGTATAAATTTCAAAGGGGAATGTTTAAATCCAAGGGCTTCCCTTCTTTAATACTCATCTGGTATTCCATGGCAAAGAACCTGAAACAGCCCATATGCAAGCCAGGATTAACACTACACCTATTTTTTCCTACAAGGCAAATCTCATAATAAGAATACCACATACCATTTGCCCATACTTTTGCCTTCGTACCGAGTTAAACAGCCATGAATTTGTCCATTCTAGAAATTCATATTACCATATGTACAGGTTAACGTATGTTATTTGGGAACCTCAGAATAGTAGGCCCAAGAATCTGCTGCTTCTAACAGTGCTTCTCTGCTTCTGTTGTTATCCCTAGTCTAAACCAGCCATGTTTGACATAAAAATAAATAATAACAAAAAATTTTACAAAAAGGGCACAAGGGACAACAGATAAAACTGAAGAACAAATTTGAAGAATAAAAAACTAGACAGAGGCTAGCATGAGACTGTGAAAATGCATACCATGGACTGTGAGCAATGGGTCCATGTTCTACTGTGAGGAAAATACTCTCTCCACATGCAGGGTTACCACGGCACAGCAATACCCTATCACTTCTCTTCTCTTTAAACCTCTGACAACTGGAATTCCTCTGTAATTCAATAAGCTCTCAGGAGTTCAGGAGTTACCTAGGCTTCATTCATCCTACTGGGCTCATTAAGAGAAAACTCTGCATTTTTTCCCCACTAGTTAAAAGCACATTTTCTGGTGGGTGGCATAGTAGAAGTAGGTTCTCTTTTAAGACATGAACATCCTAGTTCCATTTC